GCTATGAGCCACATAAATTATTTTATTTAACTACGGCTGGCGATATCGCCTTGTAGAGTCGAATAAATTATTTTATAAAAAATTTTAATTATTTTTCGGCTGGCGGTATCGCCTTTTAAAGCCAATAATTTTTATTTATTTTATGAGCCTGGCAGGATCGCCATATAGCAAATAATAAGTTATTGGTTGGAGTTTGATCACCAATTGGTTTACTTTATTGATTTCACTTTCTTTTATACCAAATTCTTACACTAACACTTACAAATTATTTACGAACTAGAATGTATACAAATATACTACTAATACCTACAAACTAACTACATAACTCTAAAATATGCTAAGTCAACATATGGTTGCAATAAATATATAAATATGTCAGTCGCATTGACAAACTGACGTTGTGGATCAGTTAGTCACTGCGACTGTCTTTGGCGGTGTCTTTGACCGTCCGCACAAGTGTAACAAGATCCTCGCTATGTGCGATGAATGCAGTCTTTGCATAAACTCCCGCTGAGTTCAATGTAACTGATTTGGGTAAACTGTTGTTTGTGTACATTCCTATTTGTTTATACATTACTTATGTGCACATGACAATTAAAGTAAAAAGGGCGATGTGCTTATGCTACACGTCTTCTATTACATATCCTCCGCAGTAGTCGCATATGGGTTCCGGTTCGTGTTTGAATCGGTGAAGGTACGCTTTGAGGCACACGTGTCGAGTTAAACAGTTTGTCAAATAGAAATCGACTTCGCCGTTTAGTCTGCTTCATTTGATTGTATATACGGTTTGCGCTTCACTATGCGTGGTCCCCTCCCATTTTGCACATAAGAGTTAATGAATTGTTGAAAAGGCTGGGCTTGTTTAATCTTTTTTTTTGCCATTCAGCTTTTTTATTAGGCCGATCTAGCTTTTTAATTAAAGTCCTGGCAACACTGTTCCAAACTCTAAAGGGCCGTTTACATAAGACTNGGCTTGTTTAATCTTTTTTTTTGCCATTCAGCTTTTTTATTAGGCCGATCTAGCTTTTTAATTAAAGTCCTGGCAACACTGTTCCAAACTCTAAAGGGCCGTTTACATAATACTTTCCTCGCTTTGCTTGACCGTTCGAATTTTGACAACAAAGCGTGAAGCGTAGAAGTTATGCTACAATAAACGCTTTGACAGCTTCTGCGTTCTCCTTTTCCTCCATATCTCTGTAAAATAGACAACAATATAAAAACATGCATTAATAATAGCAATAAAAATTCCTATTTACCTTATTTTTGTAATTAAATGCAAATGCAAGTCGCAGGGCTTGGGGGCCTGCGTTAGTTGTGGGCGGCGGAGCGGCCAATGCCTGGGGGTTGCTGGCCAGGTGGTGTGGTCAACCGGGAGCGATGGGTTGATTTTCCTGGGCGGCGCTGAAGGCAGTCTGGAAATGTCGGAATGACGTCGGCGTGTAGCTGGCGGCTGTACGGCACTGCCGGACGTTTTCGCACTAAGGACGCTCTGGATGGAGCACGGGGACACGCAAACGACAGCGGCTGGAACGTGGTGGCACTAATAGGGCACTATTACTAGAGCGACCGTTTCAACGCCCGTTTGGTTAAGTTGGGGTAAACGAAATAATAATAAGTTGGCTCAACGAAATAAAAACACCGAACTGATTTCAATTTAGTTTGAGAACAACGCAGGTTTATTTGGTTCGTATTCAATTCGCGTTCATTAATTTTGCTTCGAGTTACAAATTTTCGGGCAGACCGAAGATGCGGAAGGTAAGTATACCGGCAAAAAATACAAAATTCTTAACAATACAATTTCTCCTCTGATCCGTCCACGAGATAGATATGAAGTATGTCTATAGATATGTTGTTTTGACAGCTGGTGATCGTTCAAGTGAGCGAGTAGCGCACGCGTTGCCAACTACCCGGTTGGCTGATAGGGGTTTTCACGGTGCGAGTTAATTTTTATGAGTTCAAAAGTTACAATTCGTAGAAATATTTCAAGTCTAGCTAATTCAATAAATACAAATGGTTAATGCGGTGTGCGTGCGCTAGTCACTCACTTGAACATCCTGCCCCGCCTAGGCGCGCTAGACGGCTAGTGCCACTTTCAACTGCTCCAGCGCTCTAATGGCCTCATCCATAAGCCGATTTGCCATCTTTTCTCGGAATGCAGCGGTATGGAGCCCTGTTGCCGAACGTTTGACGGTGCGTGGTTGTGGAATGGTGGCTGCAGTCGGATTGTAGCGATGGGTAGCGGCCTGGGTAGGTGGGTTGCGACGATCGCGAGCGTTTGAGCGGGAGGCCGGTGTCGGAGGTGTTTGAGTTGGAGGTGCGGTGGTACGGCGATGTGGCTGTGGTGGCGGCGGGGCCCGATGAAGCATCGTGTGGTGCGGCAGTGCACATATCCTGCACGTGATCTGGGATGTGCATTCGCTGGTAGCGTGCGACAGTGCCAGACAGTTGGTGCAGTAGTTATGGGCCCGCGCCAACAAGTACCGCTGCGCTGGCTGCATCCTTCTAAAGAGCGGGCATGTTCGTAGCGCGTGGTGACGCGCGCAAACTCGGCACTTCTGATAATCAGGGCTTGGGCGCCCCCCGCGGTCGCTAGCGGCCACAAACACCTGCGAGCGGAGTGAAGTTCTTGGTGCTGGTGTGGGTGCTGAATCCATTCACGCCTGTAAATAGTTGTGTTGATGTATAATTTTAGTGGGACGTATATCGAGTATCGTGGGTCATGAGACAGAGAAGTATATAATTGTTATTTTGGGGAAAAGGCGCGTATGGTGATTGAAGGCGAGACAAGTTTACGATCAAGCGGTTTGTGGCATAAGTGGTACAGAATCATGATGATGGTGTAGGGTTACTCGGTCGCATTGGGACTGAGTGGAAGTTCGGCCGGTGGCAAAAAACATAATTTAACTATCGGCCGTGTGAGAATGCCGGTTTGAGTGCGTACCTCGACAACACGAATGTGGCCATCGGGGCCGGGCCGTGTCCTTTCGATGCGTCCGAGGCGCCACTCAGTGGGCGGAAGCGTATCGTCGTTGATGAGGACGCACTCGCCGACTTTCGGCTCAATACGGGTGTCTTTCCATCGGTGCCGTTTGTGCAGGTCCTTGAGATAGTCCTCTTTCCATCGTCGGCTAAACTGATGGTGTAGAACTTTGACCTTTTCCCACCGATTGAGTAGAGATAAGTTTTCATGGTTCGATTCAGGAAGAGACAACAGGGGGGATCCCTTAAGGAAATGCCCGGGGGTGAGTGCGGTAAAATCTGAGGGGTCCTGAGATAGGGGAGAGATGGGTCGTGAGTTTAACACGGCTTCTATTCTGATTAATAGGGTGGTAAACTCTTCGAAGGTGAATTTATGTGATCCGGCAGTCTTCTTGAGATGCGTTTTGAAGCTTTTGACTGCGGATTCCCATAAACCACCCATATGAGGGGCGCTGGGGGGAATAAATTTCCAGTTTATACCTTGAGCGGCATATCTTTTGACGATTTCCCGGGATACTTCTTTCGAGAAGGTGATAAACTCCTTCTCAGTGGCTCTTTTGGCACCGACAAAGGTTTTGCCGTTGTCACTCATCATGGTGGCGGGATAGCCTCGCCGGCCAACAAAGCGAGCAAATGCAGCCAGAAAGGCCTCTGAAGTTAAATTCGAGCACAACTCAAGGTGAACCGCTTTTGTCGTGAAGCATACAAAAACGGCCACGTAGCCTTTCACGAGGGTGGGCGATCTTAGCATGGAAGCCTTCACCTGAAAGGGGCCAGCAAAATCAACACCCGTTGTGGTGAAGGGCGGAGCGAAGGTGCATCGTGAGGGTGGCAAGGCTGCCATTATTTGTGAGCGCATTTGCTGCTTGTGGACAGTGCAGGGTTTGCATTGAAAAATGCACTTTTTTATGAGTGGCTTGAGCCGAGGGATATAAAACTCCTGTCTGATCGCCTGCTGCATAAGACGGGTTTCGGCGTGCAAGAGCAGCTCATGCAGGAAGCGTAAAAAGAGTGCAGCATATCGGGATTTCTCGGGAATAATGATGGGGTGGCGTTCATTGTAGCTTAGCGTTGAGTGCGCCAGTCGACCGTTCACACGTAGAAGTCCATCTTTGTCCAGAAATGGGTTTAAGGTGAGAAGCGGGCTCCGTTTATCGATCGGCTTCGAAGCTAACAAATTCCTCTTTTCATTGGAGAAATATCGAGATTGAGTTAAGGCGATGAGCTGGACTTTAGTGTTTCGGAAGTCATCGTGCGCCAGAGGTAAAGGGTGAACTATTATGTGGCTTGTTCGGGTTTTCAGAGTCCGTATGAATCGAAAAACGTGAGTCAAAACCCGGAGTGCGCGTGGGAAGGAGGAGAAACGATCCAGAATGTCGGGTTCTTCTTCGGTGGTGTGTAACGCTTCAATTCGGCGTACTTCGGGTGGATTGTTGATTGTGCGTCGTGAAGCTTTCGGCCAAGATTCCGCGGGGCTGGTGAGCCATTCCGGACCCTTCCACCACAGTGAGGAGGCTGCCAAGTCGAGAGGTTTACATCCTCTTGTACCCATGTCGGCGGGATTATCGTGAGTTCGTACATGCCGCCAGGTGGCATTTCCGACCAGATCGATTATTTGCGCGATTCGATTCGATACGAAGGTTTTCCAGGTATGGGGTGGCTTTTCCAACCATGAGAGCACAATTTCGGAGTCAGACCACAAAATCAAAGCTTGCGGGTGGAGATTGAGCTGAGATTGGACGACCGACACTAGTTTGGCTAGAAGAAGGGCTCCACATAGTTCGAGACGTGGTAAGCTGGTGGTTTTTAGGGGCGCCACTTTGCCTTTAGAGACTAGGAGGTGACACGTTATGTTTTCTTCTCGTATCGCTCTGACGTAAATATTGGCGCAATATGCCTTCTCAGACGCGTCGCAAAAACCATGCAGCTCAACAGGTTGGCCTGGAGAATAGTTCACCCAACGAGGAATTTGGATTGCTGTTATGGCTTTTAAGTTGTTCGCGAACTGCGTCCACTTGACGAGACGGATGGGTTTTACCTGTTCATCCCAGTCGGTTCCATCAAGCCATAGCTCCTGCAAGAGAATTTTGGCTTGAATCATTATCGGCGCTAGCCATCCTGCGGGGTCGAAAAGTTTGGCGACAGAGGAGAGGATTTGTCGCTTCGTGCTCGCTGTGGTTACTGGGATGGACTCAACGGTATATGAGAATGCATCTTTTATGGCATTCCATTGAATCCCGAGCGTTTTCGTCGTACTTGCCTTTTCGAATTCGAGAAACTGTGAATCGAGCACGTCGGCGATGGGAACGGTTTTGAGGATATCAGGATGGTTGGCCGTGATTTTCTTAAGGGGGAAGCCTGCCGACAGAAGAGCTTGTCTGACTTGAGAAAGGGATTCAGAGGCTGAGAGGATAGAGTGCCCACCCGAAAGTATGTCGTCTACATATGTTTCGCTCATTAGTATTGGGGACGCCATCGGGAGTGTGTCTTTTATATCTTTAGAGAGTTCGTGAAGGGTGCGTATTGCGAGATAAGGGGCGCAGTTGAGACCAAACGTGACGGTTTTTAGTTTGAAATCTTGAATTGGACCTTTTGGGGAGGAGCGAAATATGATTCTCTGGTAATCTTGGTCCTCATCGTGTAATAGTATTTGGCGGTACATTTTTTCTACATCGCCATTAAAGACAAATTGGTACGTGCGCCATTTGAGGATTAATAGCATCAAATCGGGTTGGAGGGTTGGCCCGGTGTAGAGGACATCGTTTAACGAGTTACCGGAAGTTGATTTTTTCGATGCATTAAAGACAACACGCACCTTTGTCGTTCTTTTTTCAGGTTTTACAACCGCGTGGTGGGGTAAATAAAATGACGAGTATTTGTTTCCTGAGGATTTCTCATAGGAAGTTGTTTCTTCCATATGACCTAGTGTTATATATTCCTCGAGGACTTGGTCGTACTGGGATTTTAGCTCGCCTTTTTTGAGAAGATTTTTCTCCATACTGAGGAATTGCTGGAGAGCTGGGGCACGGGATCGACCTAAGGTGAGTTGGTCTGGGAAACTGTGCTTAAATGGGAGTCGCACTTTGTAACGACCATCAGATGTGCGTGATGTGGTGGATATATAAAAGTCTTCACACACTCGGTCCTCAGAGTTGAGAGATTTGGGAGTGGGGATTTCTTCCAGTTCCCAAAATTTTCGAAGTTGGGAATCGAGATTCTCATTTGAGACTTCGTCTACTTGGGTCGAAAACGAGCTTATTTGATTGGGGACTTGACCACTAAGGATCCACCCAAATATGGTGTTTTGTGCTAATAAGTTTTTGGAGAGTTTTTCAACCCCTTCTAGCACAATTTGTGGGATCAGGTCGCTGCCAATGACTAAGTCTATTTGGGATGGGGAGTGGCAATTGGCGTCTGCTAAGGTGAGATGAGACCATTTTTCCCGTTGTTCTTGAGTGGGTTGGAACTTGGGTAGCAATTTGGTTAGCTGTGGGAGGACGATTGCTTGTGCTTTAATCCGTGTGGATAAATCGTTTGAGACAAGAACCAGAGAGCATAATTTTTTCGAGGTTTGGACTACCCTTCCACCCATTCCTGAGATTTCGAAATTGGAGGTTCGACATGGTAGTCTCAATTTGAGTTGCGCTTTGGAGGAGATGAAGCTCCGTTCTGAGCCCTGATCAATGAGGGCTCTTAGTTTGAAGAGTTCCCCTCTGTGTTCAACGGAGACGATTGCCGTCGGGAGTAGTACTTTACTTTCATTTTCGGAGTAGAAGGATTGTACCTGGGACTTATTTGAACACGAGGGTTGCTCGTCTTGTTCTTCCAGAGACTGGGGAGTTTGGAGACTGGCACTGGTGGAGGTGGTAGTTGCCACTTGAGATGAGGCCTTATGCACTCGGGGAGTTGATGAATTTTTTGAGAGTGCGTCATCATGGAGTGATGAGTTGTGCCGTTCTTGGCAATGAGCGCAATTGTGAGGGCTTCTGCAATCTTTAATTAAATGCGATTGGGATAAGCAGTTTAAGCACATGTGATTATCTCTCACAAATTTTTTCCGATCCTGAATTGACAGTTTTTTAAAGCGAGAGCAGCTGTAAATGGGATGCTGAGAGGTTTTGCATAATGCACATTTATACATTGTGCGCTGCTCTGTCATATGAGATTGGATCTTTGAATGGGATTTATTGTGAGTGTCATGTGAATTATTGCTTTTAAATGCGTATGGGTTTTGTTTGGGGTAGCTTGTATGCGGGGGGATCGATTTAACCTTGGCTGGGCGCCACTGATCTACTCTTTCTACCACCTCATAGCGAGTAGTCAGAAACTGGTTCATCTGGGACCAGTTGGGGAGGTCTTTTCTGGAGATGAGAGATTGTTCCCACAGAGTTACTGTGTTCTCCGGAAGTTTGGAGGTGACCAGATAGATGAGGATGGGGTCCCAACTCTCTGTCGAAACTTGCTGGGTAGCGAGGATTTGAAGGCAGTTATTTACAGAAGATTGTAATCTCTGTATATCCTCGCTATTTTCAACTTGAATTGGTTTCAAATTCATTAGGGTTTTTATTTGGTTATCTACCAAGACTCTGCGATTTTCATATCGTGCTCTTAGGGCTTCCCATGCCAGTTCGAAGTTGTCATCACTTAACGGGAATTGTTTGACTATTTGGCCGGCTTTGCCTTGCGTTTTGTACCGGAGGTGGTACAACTTCTGAGCATTTGTGAGTTTTGGGTGGTTAATGTAGACCGCGGTGAACATGTCACGGAAGGACGGCCATTGTTCATAACCCCCGTAAAATATCTCAGTGTCGCAAGGAGGGACTTTTAAGCCGAAGCCTGTTTCTTCTTTGGGTTGTGATGTACCGGCATGGGGAATGGGATCACTCCTTTGTTTGAGTAACAGAAGTTGGTCACCTATCTGGGCTTTTGTGTCTTCATACATTATAAGACAAGACCTGTATTTATTGTACGCGGCTGACTTGAAATCTTCGGGGAGATCCTGATCTTCAGTTTCTAAGACCGTATCGTAAGAGATTTGGACCCGATTCCAAAAGTTATCGCAATTATTGTCTTTTATTTTCAGACTTGACTCGGTGTTGTCTTGGATTGGGGTGGACTTGAAACGAGTACAGTAGTCCATGAAATTATCTGTTTCTGATATAAATTTAATAGAAGCGAACGACTGCTTGGATTTCTTCGTGGCTGACTTTCCACTTGTACGCGTTGAGCGTTGGGACTCCGTGGAAGTACCTTGGGTTTTTTCATCGTCACTCATCTTTGGGCTTTTTGATTTATCTATTTGAGGGGCACCAAGCATTTGTTAAATCAAGAGAAAAGGGGAGTGAGTTGATCAGTTATGAGAAATAAAATGACCGCAATATAGTGTTCGCAACACGAGAAGTAATAGAAAAATTTGTCGCTTCGAAATATGTGTTCGTACCACTGTACCCGCTTGAGCAAAAAATTCAATCACCCTACCGCACTTTTTGTTATATTTGTATATATGTAATGTATATATGTATAGGTATATAAGTATATATTAATATTTTATGAGGGGTCAGAGATAAGCTGATATTTGTGGAGTTTATTAACTTTTAACTATTTAATATTTAAGTGAACGTTTGTGTGTGTGCATATATGTATGCGCGCTCATATATCAAAATTTATGTGTGGAAAAAAATGAGAGAGAAGTAAATACTCGCAGTTATTTTCACTTTGTTCGAAAGTACATATAGAAATATGCACCGTTTGCTGATTGCGCGGGAAAATATGAATATTTATATAGGAGATCTCCACAAATATTGCTTCTTTTATATATATATGTATGTGTATTTTTTTTTCTTTTTTGGGCGTAAGTGGGGTTAAAAGAAATTCGTTTCTTACTTACGGCTTGATTTGGGCTTTGGGTACTTATGTGGTTGATGATGATGATCCGCCTGGAGTGTTGCGGGCTGGTGTCAAAAGGAGGCGACGAAGGACCAAATCGCAGGGCTTGGGGGCCTGCGTTAGTTGTGGGCGGCGGAGCGGCCAATGCCTGGGGGTTGCTGGCCAGGTGGTGTGGTCAACCGGGAGCGATGGGTTGATTTTCCTGGGCGGCGCTGAAGGCAGTCTGGAAATGTCGGAATGACGTCGGCGTGTAGCTGGCGGCTGTACGGCACTGCCGGACGTTTTCGCACTAAGGACGCTCTGGATGGAGCACGGGGACACGCAAACGACAGCGGCTGGAACGTGGTGGCACTAATAGGGCACTATTACTAGAGCGACCGTTTCAACGCCCGTTTTGTTAAGTTGGAGTAGGCTCAACGAAATAAAAACACCGAACTGATTTCAATTTAGTTTGAGAACAACGCAGGTTTATTTGGTTCGTATTCAATTCGCGTTCATTAATTTTGCTTCGAGTTACAAATTTTCGGGCAGACCGAAGATGCGGAAGGTAAGTATACCGGAAAAAATTACAAAATTCTTAAAAATACAATTTCTCCTCTGATCCGTCCACGAGATAGATATGATGTATGTCTATAGATATGTTGTTTTGACAGCTGGTGATCGTTCAAGTGAGCGAGTAGCGCACGCGTTGCCAACTACCCGGATGGCTGATGGGGGTTTTCACGGTGCGAGTTAATTTTTATGAGTTCAAAAGTTACAATTCGTAGAAATATTTCAAGTCTAGCTAATTCAATAAATACAAATGGTTAATGCGGTGTGCGTGCGCTAGTCACTCACTTGAACAGCAAGCGCATGAGAAAAGATTCATGTAGACAGCTGATTGCCAAAGCGCGCAAAAGTTGAGAGTTGCCCATGATTTTGCTTCGCTTTGTTTTCTCGCATTCTGGTTAGCAAGACTCATATAAAATCATGTATTGAACTTAGCAGTCAAAGCTGAATTATGAAGCAAAGCGAAGCAAAAGTCTTATGTAAACGGTCCTTAATCCTAGTAAACACTATTAGGGCTTTCTTTGTCGCGTCACTATGTTCTTTGCCTAACTCGTTTCTGTAACTCTTCTCTGCCGTTTGTTAATTTTCGAGCGAAGTGAAGACACTGTAAAAGTGATGTGTTTCGGAGTGACTTGGGAGGAAAAGTGAAGTGATTATCGAAGTGACGACTTTCATGCATAATAAAGGGCCATTCAGATACAACTTTCCTCGCTTTGCTTGACAGTTCAAACTTCGACAACAAAGCGTGAAACGCAGAAGGTATGCTACAATAAATGCTTTGACAGCTTTTGCGTTCTCCTTTTCCTCCATATTTTGTATCTGTAAAATAGATAGCAATATGATAATATGAATTAATAATAGCAATAAAAATTCCTGTTTACCCTATTTTTGTTATTAAATGCAAATGCAAGCGCACGAGAAAAGATACATGTAGACAGCTGATTGCCAAAGCGGGCAAAAGTTGAGTGTTGCCCAAGATTTGGCTTCGATTTGCTTTGCTTTGCTTCAAACTTTTTTATGTGAGCATACTCGTGCATATGCCTACATCGATCTTATATGCCAAGTAAAGAACTATCAAGCAAATCGAAAAAAGTTGTGTTTTTCAGCCTTTAGGGTGTGAAGTTTTTCGATTAGGTTATTTATTATCTGATTGGTTAATCGATTATATTTTTATCACAATAAAAGTTATCTTTAACCTTTATTAATTTATAATTTATTGTGTTCCTGTGCAAATTTAGTGCTGGAATATCTTTCACAATGTCTCAAACGTTCAGGAAAGGAAATCAAAAATTACAGTTCACTGATGATATTAACACTAGAATATAATTAATCGATTATCGATTCACAGAACCAAGGTAATCCTCAGATACAGAGCAACCACGTCACCACCAGATTCACTTAAATGTTTCCTTTTTGCTGTAAAAAAAGATGTATGAAAACTAAAATGTAATAGTTGTTTTCCTTAAATATTTACTAAATAATTATGAAACTTTATCCACCCATTCATTTCTGTGCGTTTTACAACTATACATGTGAAAATTAAAATCAAAATAACTTCTTCCAAATAACCGATGCCAGATCGAAGGTTTATTAGGCTTCTTTTGAGTAGTTTTTTGCGAAGAGTTTCTTTGCCATACTTACTATTCAACAAGAATTTTTGCAAAAGATTGTTGATCGTGGTTAAATAAATCATATATTTCAAAGAAATTTTTATTCGTGAAAATTTTATTTTGTGATAGGCTTCTCTGATCTTTTTATTTAGTGTAAATAAAACGAGGTTATCTCACTTACGGCCCAACGTTTCGCCAATCTTCTTAGCATCTTCAGGGGCGTGTTTATTTAATTATCTGTTAAAAAAAAAATAATATATGTATGATATTAAATAAAGGAACAAATAAACATATATACATATATTCATAATTACATATAAAAATCACGGTAGAACAACTAAGATATTAAACACAAAAGTACTCACAAACAATTCGTCATTAAATTAACTACATCTACTAAAATCGATACCATCTTCTGTGGTAGTTTGGTCTAAACTAAAAATTAAATTTGAATTTCATAAGCATAACAAGTAGGCGGCAGAAATGTCATCGGTGTCTTCTTTTATGTTTATTGTGTTTTCCCTTATTTGCAAAATCCTTAAGCTTTCTAATGTATATCTGTTTTTTTCTCGTTTTTCTATGATCAAATGATGAGATCGTTGCGGTGAGTATAACGGTATATATATTTTTTTTGTGGAAACAAAAACTGCAAAAGTTATTAAGCGTCAAAGCTAAAATTAAACAATTTTTCAAATCAAAATTTCTTAAAAATGAATACATGGATTCCCTTTAATTTGATATGCATACTTTATATATGCCTTGTTTAGTTTTCACAAAAATCGAATTAATGTAAAAATATTTACAAACCCAGTTTTTTTAATTCCCTTACTAAGGATTTATAAATACGCAGAAAGGAGCTCCGATTCTCTTCTCCGGCAACACAAAGGGGAGAATTCTACGAAAAAATACTGTGGATAGGATAGCCGGTGTTGGACGGGCTAGGGTTGTTTTATGCAAATACTTTGTAAAGTGAGGTTTATTGACAGCAGTATGTATGTCAACTGGAAGTGTGATTAACTTTAGATTCAGTTTTACATCTTTTACATATAACTAATAAGGGGATTTAAAAAAAAAATTGTTTTTAAAGATTGGTTAATTTTCTTTTTTTGCATTGATACAATTTTCATAAAAACTATACATAACATATATGTATGTATATATATCAAATTAAAGGGAATTAAATTTCCTATCAAATGAGACCAAAATTTCTGTTATGTTGGCCGATTCTACATGGCTCAAGAAAATTGCTCGTGTAAATGGTGATTAAAAAATCGCTTGCCTCAAAATAGACAGCAAGTCAACTTTTGGAGGCGATTATCAAAAAATCGCATCGATTATACTGATGACCAAGAATGATAGAATACAAGATTGCGCCAATCGAGCCGAGAGCAACTGGCCGTGACGTCAAAATATACCTATGAGAGAGAAAGACGAACTCGACAAGAAAAAGAAGAAGCATCGAACAAAAGGCAGTATTGCCAAGTTTTGAATTTGAAAAAGGTCCAAATTTTTATTGGTGTATTTTATGGACTTAATATGAATACATAATTCTATTGTGAGGATGCCGATTCAAATTAATAAAAATCAATGTTTCTTGCACAACGGTCGATTTCTTCTGGCATGATTGAAGGTGCTGCACATATTTCGTTGTCGCTTATGATTGTCACTGTGCCATGATTTTGTTTAAATTTTTGTAAAATTGCTTAGCACACTTACGATTGCTATAAATTTTGCTTCCATTTTTTTAAGACTTTCTAATTTGAAGTCTTCAAACTAAAAACAAAAGCACCAGAAACGCACCAAGCACAAAACTCAAAAATTTTCGCGTTTTGAATACCCACTAAATTTGGTGCGAAAAGCATGAAGTTGGCAACAGTGAATGTAAACAAAAGTATATTATGACGTCAGCGATTGGGTGGATGCTGTCAAATCGACGAAGAGAGGGTTAGCAGTCCGCGAATGGCGCGACCTTTATTTTCTGGATCGTGACTGATGACGTTAGCCCAACATAGTAGGTATACTTGCACCAAAAATACAAGATCCCCTAATCACAGAAGCAAGAAAAAAGCATATTTCTGAGCGTTTTGACGTCTGCCTAAGAATAAAAACAAACAAAGAAAACGAAAAAGGCGCGGTGATTGAGTGCGATTAAATTTGTACTTAATATAAAATATACAAAAAATCCCTACGAAGAGGTAGAAGACGGTGTAAACAAAACCGAAAAACGTCAAAAACGATACGAAAACTTTTTTCTGAAAATCGATTACAAATACAACGATGGCTGATTAGGTGATATGTAGTCGTTGGTTCATGGCATGATCCAATAATACAACGTTCGATAAACTGACAGTTGTCTCTCTCGCACCGCTCCCTTAGCAGTGGCACCGTGTTGCTTCTTTGCAAATTTACTTGGAAAAAGTGTTGCTTTGCTGTGAAATAGAAGTATAAGCTTTTGTGCAATATGTTTATTTGTATATGCATACGAAGTACATTTAACTGATGAAAACATAAACTGTTTTTGAATTTAATGTTTACATAAATCTCATAAGAGTTTTATTTTAATTTTGAGTCTTTTTAAAAGTTTTTATACGGAAAAATATCACACAAATTGCTTAATTCACGTAGATATAGTAACATTTCGTTTAAAATGTCAGATTTCCTGCAAATACATTAGAATTTACAAAAGGAGTTTCAGTACTTTTTGCCTACTTTGGATACTTTTCTACTACCATTTTCGCAACAATGGATTTCATTCCTCCGCTTTCCCCATCCTTCGTAAATGCAACCTTTTGTAAGGGAGTGCAAACCTCGGCTGTCAATAATTTTCTAACCTTGTATTATTGAATCATGGGTTAAAGGTAGGTATATATTAGTTTATATAAAAGTATTGGGTAATTGTGCACTTCATGGTCCCCACCACAAATTGATGCAATATAATCTAAAGGGGTATTAAGTTAAAGTATTAAGATTCCGAACGCGAAAACTTATTTTTTACACCGTTCAAAAGTTATTTGCAAAAAACTGTTTCATTTAGCACAACTTTGTTAGTACTGAAATCACATTAATAAATGCACGAATTGAGTACATATTAATATCTTGATGTTCAGCATAGTTTACTTTAAACGAAACTTAATGATTTAATGATGTAGATATTATGCTGAAAACCACGAATTTAAACCCGGCGTCTCCTTTTTATTCCGTTAGTTGTAATAGAAACATGGAGGTGCTTGGTTTGGCCAATATAT